CAAAGATCTCTATTTAAACTGTCGCGTGTCTAGCTGACCTGATCTGTCAATCAAATCGTACTTTTGAATGGTTTCCTCTCTGATTTTGTTGAGATCACTTCGTGTGTATATACCAAAACAATTATTCTTTTCAATCTCGGTGAATAGTGGCTTTAGGAATATTTACCCCGCCACTTCGTAGCTCGGTAAATATTTTGCCACTGTTCACCTCGATTTCAAAGAATAATTGTTAAGTATACCAAAAAAACAACTAAGACCAGCGAACTCCATACTGCAAGCAAATGTGGTAAACAAAAGTGTACGTTGACTACATAAGGGATTTTCTACTCCAGTTTCGTTTCCATGTTGGCTTCCATAAAATTTCAAACGCCCATACTTCCCGTCGCGTCTTAGCAAATTGCACAGTTGTCGCCAAAACCTGTTACAGTAGGTCCCAATAAAAATTTCTGGACTAGTGGCTTGCTTTCAGGGAGTGCACTTGCTCCCAGACTAAAAAGCTGTTTTTCGTTTATTTCCTCCCTTTTTCTTAAATATCTAGCCATGACTTTGTTCGATCAAGAAATGGCTCTATTAATTTGGGGTCCTAAGTTCAATAATTTTGTGACAATTTTCGGATGATTTTTAAAGTGTGTTTAATAATTATCTCATTTATGACAGGCGCGCAAACAGCGAATTTGACAAAAAAATATATCCCCACTGTTACTTACCCTAACTTAAAAAGCTATACCTCATTTGAAAGGGAATACAATAAACTTTCCCAAAAAAATAGTTTACCCTCTGGAAGCTCATAATACTTCACTGAAAAAATAATTTATGCAAAAATTCAAATATAAAATGTGATTTTGCAATAATAATAATTGGATTGAGCTTAAAGTTTAAAAGGAAATTTTTTGTCTAGTTATCTAGCAAAGCAGACCACCATTCAGCTTAAAATATTGAACGACACAGGATTTGTTATAAATTTTTTCACGATGGTACCTCATAATGCAAATTAGGCTAAAACTGTAATTTGCATACTACGGCGTCACCTCGTGTCAAGTGTCATGTTGAGTGTTTACTGACAGAAAAGGTCTGTTATCTTCATGTTTTCATCCATAAATCTAGCCTGATTCTCGTACGTCCGAGGTCGTTCGCGGTCCCTTTCGCTTCCCTCCCTCTCAAGCGAAAGGGACCCCGAACGACCTCGGACGTCTGAGAATCAGGCTACCATATATCAAGCTAAAACACACAAATATGAATTCGAACACTTTATTTATGAAAACAAGCAAGGGTTTGATGGCATAAACTTAAACTAAGAAACATTTTCATCGAATTTGATGAACTGTGTAGCACAATGAACTCACGGCGAAAAGCACGCTATGCATATAAACCTTTTCTTACCTCGACTTTCGCATTTATTTACCAGTTTATGACCCAAAAAGCTTTTAAATTCATTGTGAAGGACATATTTGGTCGAAATTCGTCGCCAAAAGTATTTTTTGATGGCCAAAGCCGCCACATATTCTTTACCGCGTCCCCCTCAATTTTTGTCAGTTTTCAAAACATCGTTGCGTAAAGCATATCAATAGTTGGGGACTGAAACGAGCCCTGTAATTGGTTTAAACTATCTACTTCCTGTGGGCCAAATTTAGTGGCGATCGGAATTAACCCAATGTTTTTACGACTTTCTCAATCATAGGGCCACATGGCCCTATTTTTATAGGGGCTGTCAGAAATGAGTTGTGTAAAATTTAGGGGAGGGGTTTTTTTGGCCTGCGAAAAACCGGTTCTCCTCTCAGTCCTCAACGTCCCCAGTGGCGAGGAGAGAAGAGAAACGACCGTTTTTTTTTGTTTTTGTTTTTTTTTTTTTCAGGCTAGGGGTGTTTAACATTTTTAAAAATTAAAAAAATATATTGGATTAAAGGCTTCCTAAAAGTTAAAAATAATGAAGTGAATAATAAGTAGACAATTACCAGATAGTCCACCACCAAAACGAAGTGCCTCTGATCGCATTATTGGACTAACTGGTTTTTGTTTATACCTTTTCTACCCTAATTTATTTCCTTATAAAATCAACATCATTTCCCCCCAAAAATAACCAGAGTGCACCGGCCCCTAAACAAAACAGAGTGCAAAGAATAAAGGTCCACGTACAAGACCATGCAATACCATGCAACACACACAGCTCTAATAAACCTCTAAATTCCACAAATCCACAAACAAATAGCATCCCCAGCTGATGATTACGTGAGGGTAAGTACATATGAGAACAAATGGTATGGGTTGAAAAAAAAAAACAACAGCCACTACAATACAACAATTGCTACCTATTCCTCGAAGCAGATCACGTATTTATTCGTGCTTTTGACAACATTTTTTTTACTTTCTCAACATTGTAATTTTATTTTATCAGTCATATATTTTAAGTTGTGTATTTTATTTTTATTTTTGAAGAAACTTTGAGATTTTGACAACAATACAATTCTTAAAGCTCGCATTTCGAGGACCGTGGACTATCGTCGCGGGGCCGGACGGCTGTGTTCCGGTGGAGGACGAGGGAGTAGTGGGGGGAGAGGTGAACGGGTTATTTGATAAACCTGTCGCCAATATAGTTGAGCTATTGTGTAGGACAAACGAAATCCGCTATTGAGTACTCACCTGAACTGAGCTATAATAACATTTAGAAGGAGAAGGTTGACCACAATCAAGTAGATCGCAGTCATAAAAGACACTACTGTATCTCCGTAGCCATCTTTTCTTGGTGTGCCAAAAACTGTCGTCGTGTTTTCAACTGCAATAAAATCGTCAACAAATTTATATGTTGGACACACCGTCTTTTTAAAAATTATTGTATGCTGTTTATGCCTGTTTGCATTTGTTGGTTGCGAATTGAAAATATTTTCTTTGAAAGTTAACCCAAATGCATTTTACAGGATAATATCCCATTTCCTCCACCCTGGGTTCCAGAGAACTTTCATGCGCATTTCCAGGTTAGGTCAAGTCTTAAGCTTAACGGTGTCCCCCGCGAAGGTGTGTCGGCTTGAGACCGACAACAAAGAATTCCGCCTTACGCGAGAAAAAACCAAGGGTACATTCCCTGCTGTCCTGAAAGCAAACAGCACCTTGATTTATGAAATGAGCGGATTTAGTTTTTAGCTAACGCAATGTTTTTTGGACAGGACCTTTGCACTATGACATGCCTCACCTATTTTTTTCAAAGAACCCTTTTCAGCACCCTCCAACCGAGATATTATAAGGGGATTCATTGATTAGAATGAAATCGATAAAGTTAAAAGTGTGTTACAAGGCTGCTTGATTCGCATAAAACAATATCACTACATTTGTTTTTTTGCATGATGCCGTTGCTTGGCACGCAAGATTTGAGCACGGGAGAGAGAAAAGTAAAACGGCTTTTAAAGTGGGTTTAGAGTCGCAGAGACTTTTTCTCAGTTAGGCATGCTTAAGCACTGCACACTGAATATTTCGTGTTATTTTACCAACTAACTTAAAATGAAATCTATTTCTCTTCCTTATGACTAAACTTGCAGGACGTGAGTCAGTTCTAAACCTAGAAAAAACAGCCTGGCTGTTTTTCCTTATCGTCACTTAACTTTAATAGTTTGGCAATACAAATGACTACAAGTCAGGGGCACCCATCGACTGTTTTCTGTAAAATATCTGTTCGGAGAAGTAAAATTACCTAAAATTTTCCATAGCTTGAGGAAGGCTAAACATCTCTAGGTGAACGTTCCATTCACGTACAATTTTCGAAGCTTATCTAATAAATTCCCAACAACTTTCTGAGGCTTAAATTTTCGCCAAGTTAAGCTATATTTCATAGAAAAAGAAACCTAAAATTTTCGGATTCAAAATGCGATGAAGAGAGGAATCAGAAAGATTCTCACTTAAATTTTTTATCTGAAATTTTCGTGAAAATAAACTGAAACCCTTGTGATTTCGGAAAAACTCAAGTTCCCATAGGATGACTAAACAGATACAAATTTTATGGCGCTGCTTAGAATGTATTTGAAGAGATGTAAAAGTGTTCTGGATAGCCTAAAAGGTGTTTTCACTAACCGTCGTTGGGTGCACCTGAAAGGTATTAAAAGGAGAACCCTTAACAGGAAGTACTTCCCTCACTGAAGAGTTACCTAAAGCTCACTACAAGCAAAAATTAAGCAGCTACTAAAATCATAAATGCACTGTACATAAACAAGGGGAAAACATGTGCAATAACAAATAAGAAATTAGAGAATAAGATTTAAAGTTTGAATCTTATCAGTGATTCTTTTTTTTCCCAAATCTTTGAACATATCCGAAAACTATATCTTACTAACATTTCCTTTTGAATCACCTACCATTTTCCTGTCTTTATTTGGCATGATACGTATTAGGCTTACCCTCAACCGTAGGTTTATAGGTATGTCCACGATTATCCCCACCTTACGGCTGAACGCACGTTGGGACATTGTTAAGAAAAACAGCCAACCGCCCACGGTCAATAATCAAAATTCAAACATGACTCCGCTTATACTTTATATATTTGGTTTTGGTTACTTTTACTCAATTCTCTTCTGGGAATTACGAGACAATGGAATCATGAAAATCTGCATTAGGTTTCATGTTAGAAAAAAATAGATCGAACGTGGGGTAAGTGATGGTTAAGCAGCCCAGCCTTGTGGTGGGAAAAAATCGCGGGCTTATATATTGAGACACCCATCACGGCCGGAGACCGAGTGGTAGTAAATCCCATTTAATACGTCTTGATAGAATTGCTTTCTTTCCGATGAGCATTTTTGCAAGTCAATATTCCGTTCGATGTTACCTTGCTCAGTTACGCCAAGTTCTTTTTCTCAATGATATCCTAGATATATGGTGGTTGTCTCCTAAAGCAACGGCGCAGGCTAGTTGTATGCAAAGAGGATATATAACCCAAATATCAAAGCTGACATTATGGTGAGGAAGTGAACGAAAAAACTCTTTTACCGAGTGTACTGTAACGAAAGGCTAAGCTCGAAATGTCAACTTTGCAATGTGTTGGGTAAATCTTTGCAGTTAACTACAAGATACGTACTAACGTCTGGAGCATCCATAAAGAGCTCTCCGTGAGCTTGAAAATAAGGCCTGAAGAATACCCGAGATACTATAGACCATGAAGAAGGCTCGTTTGGGTACAAAATAGCTTGTTGAGTAATTCCATAGGCCAGGAGAAAGACCCCCACGATGACAAGAAAATACATCAAATCCTCAGCCTAAAGTCAAACAAACAAGCAAACAAAGTTGAGAATTATTAATGCATACGGTTTAATGAATGTTCCCGGCCAGATATTGAATGCAGCCGAATGCATGACTAAACTTTATAACTGCGAATGAGAAATGCGAAAGAGCTGAGGGCAACAGCTTCCCTTAAACATTAAGGGCTTCAATATTCTCCTAATGTTGTTCTTCAGCAGCATAATTAAAAATATAAAATCATTGTTCTAGTAAGGCCTTAAACTGCTGATTAAAAAAAAAAAATTACAATCCAAGCTTTCACCGATTAACAGCATCATCAGGGATGATAAAATATTGAGCCCGGCGCTATATATCTAACCGGATTTTTGAAAACGTTACCGCCAAATGGACCTTTTCCGTCCAACAGTTTTTTTCCGGCCCAAAACTATCTCCAAAGTAGTCATTATAAAAACTGAGAGTGCAACCATTGCTTTTTTCTCTTCTCCTCCTTTCCTTCTCGTCGCTCTTTTTCTCATTTCCTTTTGCTTCGTTACTGTGATTTTGGAACTTCTCGGGTTAAGAAACCGGCCTTTTGACGCCTTTTCACTCAAATGACTGCAAATTTTGTTAGGTTGGTTTTCAAAAAATCGGTGAGATGTTTGCATAGAATTCTGCCAACCTTTCAAACTGTTCCATTTTGAAGTGGCAAATGACTTATCAGGCCATTTGGTATCAACGCTGCTCATTTCGCACAATCTATTCTTTCTGAAGATTTCTGCCAATCTTTCAAAATGTGCCATTTTCAAGTGGCACATGACGTTTCAGGCAATTTGGCATCAACGCTGCTTATTTCGCGGAATCTTCAAGCAGGATATTTTAGAACGCTACCGCCAAATGGACCTTTTCCGTCCATAAATTGATCATCGAGGCGGAGGAATGTGATGAAGCGGTTTGCACAAAGGGCTGACTGAGCAAGGTGAGACTGGCGACCTGCGACAAAAGTGTCCAGTGGTGACAGTAAGGCTGAGCACTGGGGTATAACGCGAGCTAGGACTTTGCACGCCCCAATAAAGGACTTAAGACTGCCAAGCGTTTCGAGGAGCTTGGTGTAAGACGCTAGGGCTGCAATTCGATGAGGGGAGGCCTGGAGGGCACCAGAGTTCCAAATCCAGCCCAAGATCACGGTGGATTTGGGGTTGATGACAGTTTTGGAAGTGGAGAGTTTGAGGTTGTACTTGGATGAACCTGAAGCACTCGTTTCCACTTGTGCAGTAACTACCCTGGTGAGCGCGGAGAACCACAGCGCGACGCGCAGCTTGCTGTGTAGAATGATCATCAGAAGAGCCGTATGTGAAGGAGGATCCACCTGCGAGGGTATTCAGGCGTTTGGCAGGACGACCAGCGATATCATGGGCCTCCATAAAGGGGCTCCCGGCGAGGACCACTACTTTCAAGTTTTCCACGACCAGACCTTCACACTGGAACACATGTTGTCTGCGAGTGAAGGAAAGGTTTCACCGATGACCTTAAGTGGGGATGATCCGTCACCCTGATAGGCGGACTGGGCACTCTTACAAATCTCAACTTTCAGCTTCTGAATAGTGGACAAGCAAATCATGTTACCAGTGGCCCCACTTTCCATGGTAATACTGACAGGGCCGTGACGATAAAATGTGTCTAGGTAGGGGTATTGGCGTGCCTGAATTCTCAATACATAGGGGGTAGGTTGGTTTTTAGTAGGCTCAGGCTGGTAGTCCTGTGGTTCTTCCTCAGACTCATGACAATCGAAAATGCCCACGACCGGCCTAGCTTTTTCGATGAACTTTCGGTCAGTGTCAGGAAGATTAGTTCACTCGTTTAGGTAGTGGTGGAAGTCTCCGCGGCCCGCCTGTTTGCAGAGGGGACAGGATTTAGGGCGTGTTTGGAAGCGATTGGGGGGTTTGACAATTGACAGCTTGTGCAGGCTGCGATAGGAGGAGGGAGTGGTGCGCATTACCTTAGCATCTTCAGTGGCACTGATTTCATCAAGTAAAGATTAGAGAACTTGCCAGATCTCAGGCTTGATCTCAGGCAAAGTGGGGTTAACTCTTCATCTTCAGTGGGGAGCGCTCCATGGTGTTGTATGCTGTTGCTGCGAAGGAGGTTATCCTCTGTAAAAGCCATAAATCTTTGGTAAAGATCCTCGGGTCGTTCACCGTGCTCGAGCTGGATTTCTGAAAAATCAAGGAAATGCGCTCCGGTGGCTTCGAAGCCGAAATGCATGGGTTACCAAATGGAGCCCAATAATGTTGAGTTCTTGACAATGGTGTTTCTGGAGATAAGTGGACGGTAATTTGCTATTTGGCCAAACATGAACTCAAGCATGCTCACTTTTTGTTCAGCAGTACGGCGGCTTGCATCGGGTACTGAAGAACCATCATCGGTGAAGCCGCGAAGGAGCCTGTTTTTGGTCTTCTTTAACCACGTAGCTCCGTCTAAGAGGAAAGGAGCGAACTGAGGAAAGGGTATACAAGAGGCTTTGACGCCAAAGGAAGTTACGGTCTCCGTCTCGGTAAGGCACCATTGTTTCGGTGCACGCGGAGTGTCTGCCATTAGGTCGGTCTCTGTTTATCCAGCGGATGCTATCTCTTTTTGCTTTGTCCAAACTTAGTCTCTTGCACAAAACTCGAGCGGAAAAGTTTGCTACGCAGGCTATTTTTTATACCATTTTAACCTCCAAAGTGACTTAACCCTAACCCTATTCTATTACGAGCTTAGGGTGTTAGGTTCCAAAGATTGCAAGCCATTACTTTCGCAGTAATGCCACTGCAGTTGTCCCTTTCTTAAAAGGTCGCTGTCATTTTTGCGACACTTAGAAAATTTTTGACATGTTGTTGAGAGTGTTTCTATGAAAAGGAAGAAAATCGCAACCTAGGGTCAACCACGCCTCAAACCCGGAACCTTCGTATCCTAGTGTCTCTCCATTACCACACTACACTACCACACCGACCCGCCAAAATTCCGAAAAATTTAAGTAAATACACTAACAAACTGTCTTTATTAACATCAATAACAGGTGACCTTAGCCCTTTTTGTAAATTTTAACGAAAATTCAGCTTGGGTTCCAACGTCGTTCTTTCTAAGACTATTCGAAAACATTGTTTTTTGCCCTTTTGTAACTTAATTCAGGGAATGTATTACATTTAGCATGACCAAAGGCTTGGTTGCTAATGGTGGCATCGACCGTTAAAAATGGAAAAGACCGTTTACGAATGGCAAATGGGAAATGCCACTAGCCCTATATATTTTGAGAAAAAAGGACTTGATCTGATGAAAACTATCCTGTGAAATAGAAAGGTGTCTAATAGTATAAGAGCCGGATTTAACAATCAGAAAATCTCCCAGCACGACATAAGTGCCTGTTCAGAGTTGGTTTCTGTAAGGTTAAACCTATCAAAACAACCATGAAGACTGATAAGCAACTGTTGCATCACGCAAAGAAAAGAATGACTCTTAACTTTTGAACAAGTACGTGGTCTAAACCGCATCATAGATAAGGGTGAAGATATTTGTTAACGAAAGCTGAATTGTTTCGTACAGAAAAAAAAAACAGCTTTTCATCTTCACATCTACCTTGTTTGTTTGCTTGCACGGGCGAAGAGAGTCCTTTCAGCCGCGACAATTCCGCGCCAAAAAGCAGGGTGTCTCGTTGGGTCCACGGTCTTCCATAGTCAAATTGTGCGGTGGTACTTCGGTTTTGCGTCGCTATCATCGTATATTGATCGATCAAGGGGAAGGGTCCATTTAAGACAATACTTCGAAAAAGTACATATTCCAGACCATTTTCAAAAATAATTATAAAACATCAATTACCATGAATACCAGCCCGTGTTCGGCATTATCTGCGTATTTGACTTCATCTTTGACTAGCATCAAAGGTATGTTCGCAGCTACCACGCCTTTGACTTCATCTTTGACGTGCATCAAAAGATAAAGTCAAATTGACCAGCATATTTGGCAATGCCTTGACAAGCGTTAAAGGAATAGACGCATTTGACTTCATCTTTGAAGTCAAAGTTGTTACGCAATTGACTTCGCCTTTACCAAGATCAAAGAAGTAAGGAAAGAGGTTATATATTTGGCGGCATCTTTGACGCGCGTCAAATTAAGGTAAAGTCAAAGCCGACTACCATATTTGACTTAACCTTTGACACGGGTCAAAAGTGCAGTAAATCCAATTTTTCGTCTCTTGGCAAATTGATCAAAGAACGAAACGGTTGCTCGCAGTGGTTTCTCTCCCTTCGTAGCGCAGCGTACGGGCGTTTTATGCAACCCGGCCCAGGGCCCAGTTGCATAAACCTGCACTTAAGTGCTCACTTAAGTAGGTCACTTACGAATCCGTTACGGGTATACTTACGGGTGTTGCGTGGAACGCACTTAGCACTCTTGTAAGTTTCTGTTTTACGTGGTAACTTACGGGCTCACTTAAGGGCACCCGTAACCCTGAATTGTAATAATTGTGTCTTACCATCCTGTAAATCATCACCACAATAGGTCCCATGCGTTTGCTAATGGAAAAAAAGGACAGAAGGCGCATGATCCAAAGTGCGGCATCAAAACAGTATACCAGGTGACCAACCCCGCTTGTTGGTTGGTGAAGTTTGAGTGCAAAACCAACAAAGAATGACACCGCAGCGAGCCCGTCGAGAAGGTTCCATTTACTGGAGGCCCATTCTTTAAATGTTCCCTCTAGTATCTACCATAACAGAATCAAAACATGAGAATCAGAGTTAATTGTGAAATGTTTACAGTGAATTGCCAATTTAAAAGATTAAACATCCAGGCAGCAGTTTAAATTAGAAGACACGAAAATATGCCGCTACATAATTGCGCAATTTACTAGCCCGTCGTCTACTAACTACCAGCCAACCCGGCAAATGATCCATCACCACCACAACCACTACCAACAACAACAGGAACAACAACAACAAAACCGTTCAACTAAAAGATTAATCGATCAGCTAAAGAGCAGCTGAAAACTGGCTAAACTGAAACACTAACTGACTTGTATACTAACTCCTGGTATATTGCGTGATAAATTAATTGTATTTTGCCACCCACCGAAGCAACCCAGAAACCTGTTTTTTTTTTTAAATTAAAATTAGCTTTTGTATGGTCTACAATAGGTAATGGTCTTCAATACCAGCGCCTCCTGTAGTCCATCAAGGCTTTGGCAGTGAGAAATTTTCGCTTTTATGTTCAAAAAACGAAACATGCAGGGAAACATGATCCGATAACGGATGAATAATACTAGTGATTTCAATTCCTTTACACTTGAAATCCGGCTAATTTGTGCCGAAAACCTAAATTCGAATCTAGTTCGTCGAATGAAAAGCTTGGCGTCTAAACTGGGAATAGTCGTTCCTCGCTGCCTAAGTTCCCGTCTTTGGCCTAAATTAACACACAAATTTAGGATGATCTGGATTAGGATCAGTGATCCGAGAACACTCGGAAAATGGTAGATCAAATTAAATGAACCGGCAAATTCTTGTCCAGAGTGGATTCATCGGTTCATTTGATCTACCATGATCCGAGTGATCCCGGATCACTTATCCTGATACGGATCATCTTAAAGGAAACAGCATTTACAAAAAAAACGTGTCTTCTGTTTCATGACGCAGCGATGTTGGCAGAGTCAGGCCTTTACGCCCGTCTCCGGGTGCATGCTGTCTCAACACCTGTATGCCCTATTCAAATGCATCTCCAGGGACCTTTCCGGCAGCGAGTACTGACTCCTCAAAAGCAACAATGAGGGACAAAAGTGTTGACACACTTCCCTAAAATGGCCCCTTTTTGCATAGTGGATTTACTTATCCCCTTCCCCTGTCTACCCCAACCCCTTCCCCCCAAAATCAATGTTGAATTTTGGACCCTCAAGTCTTTTTTTTACTTCAGACAACATTGATTCGGGGGGTCGGGGGATTTACGGCCTTTAAAAGGAATGAAATAATAAATGAATTAAATGTTTGTTAAAAGCATCCCTTTTCAACAAGTGTGTCAACTACTTTTGTCCCTGATTGAAGCTTACAACGGTTCCATGAGTGAAGTTCGCTGTTCCGTCGAATGGCTTTTCTCTGATATTGTAAATGACTTTAAATTTCTTGATTTCAAAAGGAGTTTAAAGATAGGGCTAAGCAAAGTAGGCAAAATGTACATTGTCTGTGCAATCCTTCAAAATGTTTTGACGTGCTTGTACGGTAACACAACAATTTTTTGACCTAGATCCACCTTCTCTAGAAGATTATTTTTCCTGATCATGCCGTTTTGTAAACACCCAGCATAAGACCCAAAGACTGTTCTTCGTTTATATGGGAAGGTAACAAGAAAAGTAAATTAATGTCAAATAAAACACAACGAATAACTTGCCTTTATTACGGCTGTCAGCATCAATTTTAATCCATTCATGAAAAATGTAAATTTTTAACCTTCTAAAAACGTCGAAATAAAGTCCTAACTCCAGTAATTGAACATCTAACACGGTTACAGCACTGATTGTCTTTCGCCGGATTGAAGTCTAGGCCAACTTAGTTCAAGTTTATATAACAATAAAGTAAACCGAGACCTGAAGCACCGCAAAGAATTTTAAAGAAACTGAGTTTGTTTATTTCGGAACTAGTGTTTCAATAATCTTCGTTAATGTTGTGGTTTGCTGCTGCTGCTGCTGGAGCATTAGTAAGGATTGCATGTCATCCATTTGCTTTTGCTGTTCCTGTTGTTGTTTTAACATTTGGTTGAACATATACGTTTGGGCTTCAGCCCAAAATGACCTCGCCCCTATGGACTTGCCTTACCTGTCTAATTTCCTCCGTAAACAAAGAACAGACAAAGACGATGACCACGGTCTCGACATTAGAAGGAGTTGTTGCCTGACGAACAAGAATAACATAGCTGAATAGGGCCAGAAATACAATGTAGTCAAGCTGCAGAAAACAGAAAAAACAAAGAAATCCATTAAGAATACGGCAGTGAGGGTAGTCGTTTTCGAATAAAAAGAAAGAAAAAATATATTTTGAAGTGACTCGACAGTGATGTTTTCCTTCCCACTGTGAACACAAGTATGAATTGCAAGTGAAACTTTGAGTCTAACGTTTTCATAGCGGCGTTTGCGTGCCCGCGACGCTCGCTGCGAAGCCAACACAGCTTTAGCAATTGGAAACCTGTTGAAAAGAGAAAATTGGTTATGACTTCAAAAGCGTATACACTCGCACGCCCGTTCGTCCGTCTCTACAGCCTCTCGAAGTGGGAAGGGAGACTCTGTAAGGGATGGGAAGGGAATCTCAGACATGCACCTTGCGTCTGTCTTGGCAAAAAGAAAGCCAGCTTAGAGGTAACGAATATAGTTACTCCCTTAAAAATCTTGAGTTTTCTTGTTCTTGAATTACGGAAAAAACTTTAAAATATATATTTTTTAAGACTTTCCTTTTAGCTTGGTCACGCTTTTGCTTTGCTCCATTTTAGATTGGTCAATTTTTTTGTCATGCTTAAATAATTTTGCAGCATCTAGACGTTTGTTTACCGACATCTAAGGCCTGGTATATCTTTATTCTAACTTCCACGGCGTGCTGCCACAATATGAAATACAGCTGCTGCTAAGATTCTTCTGTTATTCAAAGCTGGTTTGTTTATTTCGTTTTTGGTCGAGGAAAGCGTCACACATGAGTAAGTCGACGGGATTCATTAATGGCTGCTTTTTTGAAAGTTTATTCAGACCGGCTATTACAGCAGACTACAGGAAAAACCTTAAACGTTTCTGACCTTGCTAATGATCACTGGCCTTAAGGAGCTGCACCTCTCGACAGGTAGGCGTGAGTAACATTATTATATTCTTTTTCTGGCCTCACTTTGGTTGCGAAGTCGGATGGTTTATAACACACATTGAAGCTTCATAGACGTTTTTCTGGTTGAAAATGGAAAGAACAAGGTCTGAGGAATACGCAGTTGTTGTATTGGTTGCAAAAAGAAAGCTTTAACCGAAATTTCTGCGTCGAGTTCCGTTCACCAAGTATTCGCCATTCCAAACGCGAAGCCGGCTAAATAATAAACAAATAAAAGGAAAGAAGGTTTTAAAAAGATTTTTAAACATTTCCTCCACACTACTTGTCCTCTTGAACAAAAAATGGCTGTGGTTGTACAAATTTCATTAAATATGCATTCATGCTTTGATTACCAGTCAAGACTTTTGCATGCTGTCCCGCTATTTTAATTTTTTTTTTTTTGTGAACTTTTGAAAGATGTGTGGGGTTCTCAGAAGGACTAGCTCTGTGCGTACTAGCGTGTGGAGAGGTTCGAAGACGTGAAAGAATTCAACAGCCAGATATTGAGCTTTGCAAAAGTTTCATTTGAAGATGTTACCACTTACTTGTGTTCCCAACTAAGATTAATTTATGCCCTTTCTGTTTTTCTGTTCGTCTTACAGTTTGGACTTTCCCTAATTTCCCAATCCTTTGTTCTTCTGATCGTATGTACTTACTTTTCTCTTTTTGGTTTTTGTGTTTAATTACGGATACCCTATCCTGTTAAGATAATTTACATGTAACTTTTCTTTTTTTCATAGGTTAACGTCATTAGCATGCAATTTACTAGTATATTTGAAACTTTTTTTAATAAACCCTCCTTTACAATCTTGTCTTTTATTTTAATCAAGAGAGGTAGGTTGCATGGGAGCAACTAACTATTAAAGACCTATTGTTACTTCCAGTGAGGCATTGCGCATTGATCACTTTGATTTCAACGGACGATCCCCGATTCCTCGGAAGAAGAAATTGTGGCATTTTATCTTGAGGAAGAAACGGACGTCGTGTTTGAAATTTCAGTAGTCAGTGTTTTCCTCGATCGCTTTTTCTTAAGCGTATGGATTATACTCCTGTCTTATTCGAATTTTAAAAGGCGCGAATCACATCGTGTCTGCTACCCTGGCAGAAATAATGAACATTTCGGTTCAAACCGGTGTTTTTCCTCCCAAGCTACAACATGCGAAAGTCATTCCAGTAAGACAGGTGACGAAACGGAACTAGACAATTATTGGCAAATTTCATTCCTATCTGTGTTTATCGACTGTTCGAAATACTGATGTCAGTGGAAACGCCTCACATTCTTTATCGAAGAAAAGCGAAGTCCTTTTGAAAAAAGCTCTTGGTTTCTAAGCAGATTATTCGACTCAATACACAATTTGGGATACTGTCAACAAAATACAAAGCAATATGGACGCAGGTTTGCACTCGTGTGGTATACCCATCGATCTCAGAAACGGCCTTCGACAGAGTTGCGCATACCGTACTATTGTGCAAATTGAGTCACTATGGTAAACGTGGAATTATTAACAATTGGTTCGATTCGTATTTGAATGACAGTCTCTAGACTAGTCAAATTGGAGCTAGCATTTATAGCAAAGTAAAAATCTTACTTGGTGTTCCGCAAGGTTCCATCATAGGGCCGTTGTTTTCTTATTCTATATTAATGACATTTACCCTGTTTCTTCAAAACTCAATTTCTATTTATTTGCCGATGATACAAATATACTAGAAATACGTGTATCGCGGAACCTCGCGAGGCTCAGGGGGAAAGGCCCATAAAAATGGAAGGGATGCGAGGTCGGGAGATACAGTGGAACCCCATCAATACGGTCGCCAATGGGCCAAAAAAATTTGGCCGTAATAACGAGGTGACCGTATTACCGAGGTGGCTGTAAGGAGGGCTTTCACTGTAAATTGAGGAAACTGTGTAGCTGGGGAGGCACTGGGCAATTATTCTTTTAATTAACATGTAGTAATCTTTAGATTTCTTTTCTAATATATCAAATTCTTATTTAACTTATTTCTGAGCGAAGACAATTGCTATTCTTTAAATGTTTTGGAACAGAGTGACGAAGCCCTGCCCAAATTAGGTAGTTAATCTTGCTAATTTTATTCGAAACTATAGTAAAAGAATTTGTGGTGTCTAATTCAAACAAAAGATCATTTACGAAAATGACGTCTTGTTCAAAAAGTTTTTTTTATAGAAAACAGGCTCATTATCAACACGTATCTCTTTGTTATTCCACAAAATACATTGACATTCCCTTCTACTATCAAAAACACTACGAAACTCAGATCACCATTGAAGTAACTACGAATAGAATTTAGAGGAAATATGTATCTCTTTAATGTCATAATTACAATGAAATAAACTGAGTGGCCCCCAAAGGGTTCCAACGAAAACCGTAAAAGCTTCTCCAAGCACCGTTGTTGCAGTGAAGATCCTTTTCAGCAAGGCTAGTCGTAAAGATTTAATCATACTTTCCAGACCGATCATTTTTAAAGCACCGTTTTCATATTCGTTAATTGTGGAAAGTCTTGTCACTTTATCGGTTCCTTTCCACAAAAATTTAAATATCATTTGATTTAACTCAGTAACGATTCATCACATTTGACCCTCTTACATGTGAAATTATAGTCAAAAGGAGGAAATGGCTTGATAGAAGATAACTGCACGGTAATATTTGTTTTAAAGGGTTGAGCAGTTGTTGACAGTGACTGACGTTTCGACAACCTGTGCGGTAGTCATCTTCCGAGTCAAAGTGAGTTGTATCACGTCAGTTGATGGTATTATACTCGATCTGGTTATTGATCTGATTGGTCAATTATGTCGCGATGTTATTGGTCGTCTGTCAGTTAAGCCATGATGTTATTGGCTATGAAGACTCGTAATCAGTGATTGGTGCGTTTCGATCCGTCTATTGTCGCAGTTAAACAGTCGTCTATTGTTAGTCAAATTGTTAGTTCTCGTTAGTTCTTGTTAACTCGTAGTTAGTTTTGCTTGATCTCGTCAATAAGTCGTTTGTACGGCGCTGGTAACTGTTGACTACGATTCAGTGGCGTTTGTTCTAAGTTAGTAAACCAGCTTTCTAAAGTAAGACGTTGATAGTAGTCTGCAGAATACGTTAGACATGTCGCAGAGTCCAAGTCAATTTGATGTTTCTTCTTTAAATGGTGCTCAGCAATGTGATTGTTGACGTCACCATTCCTTGTCGCGCGTTTGTGTTCGGTCAGTCGCGTGCTAAGGTTTCTGCCGGTTTCACCAATGTAAGAAGCCTGGCAGTCGCAGCATTTGATCTTGTATACTGCTCCCTGTCTGTCCTCCGGTTTGTCTTTGTCCTTGACATTAGTAAGCAGTCGCCGTAAAGTGGTTATCGGTTTGTGCGCAACACGTATATTGTAAGGTTGTAATATACGTGCAATAGTTTCAGAGGTGCCTCTGATGTACGGTATAGTCGCTGTCGTAACAGGGCCAGAGTTGGTCTGAGAGTTGGAATCAGTGTTACTGTGAGTGTTCCGTCTAACAAAGTCCGTGTTGTAATTGTTCTTACTAAAAACGTTGTTAAGATAATCAGTCTCGTCTTGTAGGCTGTCAGGTGAGTCACAAACTAGTTGCGCTCGTCTCGTCAGAGTCCGGATTTCAACCTTTTGAAATGACTCCTGGGTTCAAACCTTTCACAATATTTGTATAATTGTGATGTGTGTCAGTAGTAGTGTGGATGGAATGGTAGGAGATAATGCTGTAGCGAAAATAGCAAGCAAATGCTGGTAATTAGAGAAAATAGATTATTTTTCAGTGAATTATAGCTATGAGAGTGTTTGCACTTGTTTTAGTACATAATCACACTTGACAACTATTGTTTGTAACAGTAAGATGCAAACATAATCACTGAGATAGAAATTACGTGTAGCAATGTCATTAAGGATGCAGTTCATGAGAATTATGATCATTGAATATGCGGGCCTTCATTAGCACTGAATTCCTGTAATAAATACCAAATTATTAATGCAAGTGTTCATAGTTATTCGTGTACATGCGTGAGAAAGAAATACTCATGCAAAAGTGAAATTGCATTAAATGCCCGCATACAAGTCATGTTCAAGGTGATCAGTTTGTCAGTTCTCAACATGCATGTTTGTTGAGACAAACCAGAGCCATAGTTTTTGAAATTCCCAGACTGACAGTCAGTTTTACAATTTCATTGAGCGAATGAGTTGACAATCTGTCCTGATAATGTCTTCCAAACTCCTATCACAGTCATCCTCTCCACCCATTTATTACATGAATTTATCGCGAATGTAAAGTGCAGAATGGATTGATCTTATAGGAAAAACCATATCTGCTTGTTGTTTAATGTCTTGGAACAATATTCTGCCAATCGAATATGTTTAACTTCTGTGAATATATCACGTTCCTCTTGACTCATAGCGATGTTCTCTTCTCCTCTCTTTTCCGTTGCTCGAATTGAATTTTAAGTCGGCCTTCTCGCTACAGAGGAGTTCCGATGGAACATCTTCCTGGCGAGGATTTCCAGCCACTGTGAACGGCTATTATCGAGTTACGAGCTTGAGTTGAGTTAGAGTTGAGTTTGAGTTAAGATTGAGTCAAGTTTGATTTACCAAAATAATGCCTGCTTTCTACAGAAATTTTCACCGTTTT